ATTATATTTTCAAATATAAAAGAGTTAACAGTTTTTTTTTTTCATGAAAAAAAGGAAAAATTAAATCATTATTTATTTGGGAAAACATAAATATTAGACTTTTAAATGGTCTATTTTTTCAAATAAAAGGTTTAAATAATTTTTGTTTAACATTACGAATATTTAAGGGTCATTTTTTTCAAATTAAATCTTTTTTTTAATGCAAAATATAATTATCAGACTTTAAAATGACAAATAAACATGTCGAAACCCTAAAGAATATGTAGATTTGCAATTGCAATTCCCTCCAACCAAACAATGTAATTTAGAGCTTTGTATTTTAGACATGGTCAGTTGTATGTCACTACATCCAAAGTAACAAATCCCAATGGGTTAAAGATATTAATTTGTGATGAAACTGAACACAATTGTACTTTCACAATTCACAAATAATGTTGTATACAAAGAAGTTTTTAATAATATTTAATTTCAACGTTTCTATTCATTATTCCCCATCTTTATTATTGGGGGACGATTGCGAGGGAAAGCCGTAATAGGTTTTCTATTATTTTCTGTGTGTATGAAAATTAGAAAAATGATTTTGAAAATTACTTTTCGAGTAATTAGAAAAAATTAAAGTCAATGAAAAGTAATTCTTATTACTCTCTCTCTCTCTCTCTCTCTCTCTATATATATATATATATATATATATATATATATATATATATATATATATATATATATATATAGGGAAGAGATCAGGTGCATTTGTTGCTTCCCGTGCGAATGTGCGGTGGATTAATGTGCGTGAGGTTTATACTTAATGTGCGTGAGATTTGTACTCAATGTGCCTGAGATTTGTACTTAATGTGCGTCATGTTAATATGCGTGAGTTTTGTACTTAATGTGCCTGAGTATTGTGTTTAATGTGCGTGAGATTTGTGCTTAATGTACATGAGTATTTCAGAATTACGAGCTCAGAAGGAAGCAGAACAGAAAACTCACGCACATTAACGCCCAGGCTTCTTGTTACTTCTTCCTTCAATTTGGCCATGGATTCTGCATTATCAGCTACATCCAGTGCAGTTGAATGTTTATATAAATGACGCACGCACAGTAAAATTTGCACAGTAGCTAAGTGTGGATTTCTGTTGTATTATTTCCATAATTCTTAACCTCCATAGCCCGCCTCCACATCATCATCAACGGGGAGGGAGCAATGGCTACTGGGGATGGAGAAGAAGCTGACATTCATAGTTTCTGCTGCATTTTACACATTCGCGCACATTAAGTACAAATCTCAGGCACATTAAACACAACACTCACGCACATTGTGTACAAATCACACGCACATTAGTCCACCGCACATCCGCACGGGAAGCAACAAATGCACCTGATCCTTTCACTATATATATATATATATATATATATATATATATATATATATCACTATTATTTCTTAATAATATTTCATATTATAATATACAAATTTAGGTTAAGTTTTATTTTTCTTCGTTTAATTAATAATTTTTTGATTATTTAGAACAAAACTTAATATTTCAATTATAATTTTGCATTATTTGAATGATTTAGGTCGTTATGGTATTAATATTTTTTGTATGTATTTTTATAATGGTACAATTGTACATTACTTTATAAATATTAGACTATTATTTTTTTTATCGGACAAAATTGTTCTTACATCATTGTCAGACATGCGCGACCTAACTACAAAGTTATTGATCATAAATATAATTACACCCGGACTCTAAAACGATAGAACCATTTCCAAAGAATTGACAATGTTGACATCCCACTGGCTCCAATTGAACAAGTTTACACATCAAAATTTTATCAATGCATGAAAATTTCTAAAGAAATTTATAAGTTAATTTTTACTATATCATTATAACAATATCTATTGTAACTATATATTTTAAATTATTTATTATCATCCTCTATTGACAAGAATTGTAACAGTAAAATTGCCATTTTGACAAACTCTCAAAACAATTCGTCTCAACAACGAATGGAAATTTAAAAAATCAATGATTTCATTATTGTTGATGAAAAGTATGTACACAACTTTATTACTCTTATTAAATTAAATAAATTAGTAGCTACAACAAAAAATAATACATATGTATTTAAGTAATTTAAAATTAGATGTCTATAATGCCTTTAATTAAAAAAAAATATTCATTATAAAATAATACAAAATATGTTATCATATAATACAAAATATGTTATATATGAACATTTATTTACCTATGCATAAACATCTCCTATATAATATTGCATTGATATACTTTGAAATACTTATTTAAAAATAATCATTGGGCATTATCCCATTCGCGCAAAGCGCGTAAAAAAAACTATAATAATCTAATAAGAGTAAAATAGAGTACTAATTATTCCAACTTTGATTGGGATAGGGTTCGAACCTAAGACCTTTCTTATTGAAATCAATGAGTAAATTAACGGCGAACTAACAAAAATTAACGAAGAAGATAATATTTAATAGATAATCATATAATTAAGGATAAATTAGGAAATCTCAAGGAAAAATTAAAATCTAATCAATCTGAGCCATTCATTTGATTAAAAAATTTGACTGTCATTTTTTCTACTCATTATAGGCCTAACTCTCTTTGCTCTTATTAGTATATACTAGTTTTTTACGCGCATTGCGCGATTGGGATAATGCCCAATGTTTTTTTTTTTTTTAAATTTAAATAAGTACTTTAAAGTATATCAATGCAAGATTATATTGGAATTGTACTGTTCATGCATAGATAATTGAATGTCAAATTTGCGTATTTAAATAGGTAATTCTAAGTTTACAAATACAAGATAATATAGTCAAGATTGATTATAATTGTCAATAAAATAATTGTATAGGTATGGTTGAAACCAAATACGGGACATAAGGGAGAACAAATAAAAATTAGGGCATAAAATATTAAATATATACTAATATTGAAGAGCTAACTGCTGGATTTCAAAAGCTAGACGCGGTGAACACTGGTTTGGGCAGAAGCTTTTTCCGGATTCGAGTGGCCCTAGATGTCCGTAAACCGGTGAAGTGCAGAATGAAACTCATTCGACGTGACGGTATGTGGTCCTGGATCCTATTTAAATATGAGCATTTACATTGATTCTGCTTTTATTGTGGCATCCTTGGCCACATTGATCGATTATGTGCTCTCGCAAGGGGGGCAGCTGTTGAACCTGACAAATTCCCCTTCGGGAATTGGTTGAGGGCGGGCAGTGGTAGGGGTGGGAGGGGGGTTGGAGACCAATGGCTGGTTACTGGTTCGAAAGGGCTGGGAGGGGTGAAAGGAAATGCTAGTGTGATTTTGGGGTATTCGGGCAGTGGTGAAGGGACGGGTGGGGATCGGGTTCGTGAGGAGGAGACTGGCATCTCATTAGCGTCTAAACGACGCCGGGAAGATGGGGAGTCACAGGCGGATGTGGTTATGGGGGATAGTGGTCTTTCATTGTTTTGGCGGGTCCTGGGGCTCAGGACCGCCTGTCCCAATAAGTGTGTTGAGTTGGAACTGCTGTGGCTTGGGTAATCCACGGACAGTTTGGGAAGTTGCGGCCCTTGCAGCCGTTAAGAAACCCGATTTTATTTACTTAATGGAAACGAAGGTAAACAGAGATCATGCAGAAAGACTTAGGGTGAGACTGGGATTTGAGGGTTTATTTCATGTAGATAATGTGGGACGGAGTGGGGTATTAGCCTTGTTGTGGTGTACGAATAACATGGCGAGTCTCTTGAGTTACAGTAAGAACCATATTGATTTAGAGGTGAGGGGGAGGGAAGGGGAGGAGAGATGGAGGCTAACGTGTTACTATGGGTTCCCTGAGAGAGGAAGGAGGAGAGAGGCATGGCAACTGTTAAGAGGTTTGTGTGGCAGATCTAATCTACCGTGGGTCATGGTGGGGGATTCCAATGATTTGGAATCCTGGGCGGAGAAGATGGGGGGTATACCACATCCTTTGGGCCTGTTCCAGGGGTTTTCTAAGACATTAGAGTACTGTGGTTTGAGTAGTTTTCCCACGCTGGGGTATCCTTTCACCTGGGAGCGAGGGAAGGGGACTATGGATTGGATAGATGAGCGTTTAGATAGGGTGGTGGCCAGTGGGGAGTGGAGGGGTCTTCATAAGGGAGCTCGGGTCTATTGTTTAGAAACCGTTATGTCTGATCATGCTGTGCTGTTTTTGGATGTGTATGAAACTCGAGAGGTGAGGGGACATAAGGGCTTCAGGTTTGAAAATTCCTGGTTGCTGGATGAGGAGTGTGGAGGGGTGGTGAGGGAGGCATGGGGTGAGACAGGGAACAGGGGTTTACAGGCGAAGCTGGCCTGGTGTGGGGGAGCGTTTGGTGAGTTGGGGAGAGGGGGGGGGGGGGGGGGAAACGGTGCCATCGGTTTGGCAAGAGGATTGAAGAGATCCGGCGTCAATTGAGGCCACTCAGGGGTTGTACAGGGGCTCGGGAGACGAATTGCAGTTACTGTTGAAGCAGGAGGATGTGTATTGGAAACAAAGGGCCAAACAACACTGGCTGAGGGAGGGAGACAGGAATATCAGGGGGCACGTTTACTAACAGGAAATTATTCTCTGTTTTCAATTTTCTGTTTTCAATTCTCTGTTTTCGAAAACTGAAATTGAAAACTTTGTTTGCCTGTACTTATTTTTGAAATCCATTATCCATTTAGTAAATTAAAAATGTACTACATACATATATTTATAAGTTATTTCGTGACAAAGTAAAATGTCATTAGAAAACATATTAAGTACAGTAATTTAAAATAAGTTGTTTCGTGACAAAATGTTATTACAAAACATTGCAAATAAAATTGAATACACCATCAATGATTATAATTTATCCAGAAGAGTGCATTTGCGATGTCTTCACGCAATTGTTGTATTTGGTCTTGTTGACTCATATAGTCATATCTAATTGTATGGTATCATTTACACTCAATCACATTCCGCAATGATGAATATCGATAATTAAATAGGGCTTGCTTATTTCATATCCGCCCTTGCCCACGAAAGTCATTCAAGTGATAGCGCTCCCCGCGGTATGGTGCCAAAAAACTGGGTGCATTTGGATAACCACCATCAACAACATAGTAATAACCTATTCAATTGAGAAAAAGAATATACTTAAAGAAGAGGCAAACCGGGCATAACATATTCTACCTATTCTGCTGCCATATTAGCTACCATATTCTACTCTATTTCTTCCAAGACAATACGATTTTTTTAAGTCAAGAATATATTCACAAAAACAGCAACAACAACATATTAGCAACAACAGAATATAATCCACAATCAACATATTACAAAAATAACATGCCAGAGAACAACAACTAAATACATACAGAAAAAACAGATTTAGAAAGGACATTACTCTGGAACGTGGTGATGGGCACGATCCAATCGATGATTTTGGTGACTCCGTCTTTTGGAGTGAATAAACTATCTTATAATCACGAGATAAGCCAGCTGATCAAATCCAAGTTAGCTCCATTAAAACAATTAGAAAATGTAAACCAGAAAACCACATAGAGGATGAACAGATAAAGCATTAATAACAGGTGGAAGTAAGTAGCATCCCTACTCCTTTTAATCTTCACATTAAAATGCAACCAAACAGAAGTAATCAATGCTATTTTACTCCAAATTAAAGTGATTGTGCCTCTACACATAATCTAATAATCACATAGGCAAAGCAATATCAAATCTTTAACTAAATCAGACAAATCCTTGGATCATTCAATGTTGTTATCCACTTTAACACCACATGAATACAAATAAAATAAGAGAAGGTTGAAATTTAGCATAATAGGAAGTGCCAAAATTCATCTAGGACAGAAAATTATCTACAAAGTCTAAGTTCATTTAAGCATTCCAGAAATCCAAAACACTACAGCAAATGTTTGCTCCTATTTTCATACCAGGATCATAGTCAATCCTTTAGCTTCAGTGCACTACTATGTGATTTTTTTCCCTTTCATAAAGTAATAAGGCTAATAAATTTGGTAGGTTGCCTCTAAATCAGAGGCAAATGGAATAGCAAAAGCAGGAGCTAAATTCGCAGCACAATTCAACTATGGTAAACAAGCAAAAATTTTCAAAACAAACATCAATCAACAGAGATCGAAAAACAAAAAACCAAAAAAAATAAAAAAATTACCCGCTTGGAGCGTCGGCGGGCCGGCAGAAGCACTTCGCGGTGGACTTGGAGCTTGGCGGTGGTTTGTGGACTGTGAGACTGACAGTGGCGGATGGGTGTCAAACGGTGGTCTGTGGACTCCGGTGATCTCTTTCGTGTGTTTTCTGGCGTGGTGGCGAGAGGATGTGGATCCGGAGGTCGGCAACGACGACGGATCCTCAGACAGCACCTTTCTCCGGTAGCAGCAGCAACTAAGATCGGAAAATGAAATAAATGTAAAGGAAGGAGTGGGTGTGAAGGTCTGAAAAGAAGGAAAATATATGGGTGGTAGGTGGTAGAGTAAATGCCGACATTATTCTCTGAACTCTGAAGAATAGGAGGAGGAGGAAGAAAGAAGAAAATAAGGAGAAGGTCTCTTGGCTGGAGTCGATGGGTGGTTCACGGGTATCTTTCACTGTTTACGTGTTATTTCTTGTTTTGAAAACAACTTAGAGGCGTGTTCCTGATTTCTTGCAAAAATAGAGAATAATTCTCTAATTTGGAAATGGGAAAAGAAAATGGTAAACACCTCCACTGTTTTCTATTTTAAATTTACAGAAATTTCCTGTTAGTAAACGCCCCCCAGGTTTTTCCACCTTTCTGCTTTTAATAAAAAGATGAAGAATCGGTTGTTGAAACTCAGGAATGGGGAGGGTAGCTGGGTGGAAGGTCAAAGGTTAGAATCCTTGGTGGTGAGTTATTATGAGGGGATTTTCACATCTGGGGGTTGTTGGGGTGCCAATTTTTTTGAGAATCTACGACTATGTGTGACAGAGGGCATGAATGAAGAGCTATTACGGCCTTTTAGGGCGGAGGAAGTGCGCAAGACAATTTTTGCTATGGCCCCAGACAAAGTCCTTGGGCCGGATGGTATGTGTTGGAACCGTTGGTAGAAAAAACAAATAATAATAAAAAATAAGATTATTATTTTTTGGAAAAACAAGGGAAGGAAAGATGGAGAATTTGGCTCGTGTTTGGTGTTGGGTTTTTGCAAGAGTCAAGCGATCACTCTTTCCTTAAAACCTTATTTGCCACCTCCCAAAGATGCTAGGAGCGTTGTGGCCTAGGCTTCCCAGGATAAAACTTGCTAGTGATTCAATGTTTGAGCACTCAGACAAGGAATCCGGCGAGCAAGACAAGGTTTTGAACACAGTAGGCTTAGAAAGAGAAGGAGTAGAAGAAGAATTTTTAAGGTTGGAAAACTCAAAGTTTCGTGTAGAGTGCTTGTGCTCATGTGTATAAAAATCTGCTTCTCACTGCCTCTCTTATATAGGGGTGGAGGAGTCAATAGCTTTTAATATGGCAATGAAAACTGACATTAAAGATGACTTCCAACAGCTATAACAGCAGGCACCTGGGAATTGAATTCAGAATTCAAAATTGGAGTTAATAGGATATTAATTCCGTAACAGATGAATTCAATCCCCATAACAGTCAGAACTTTTGGGTTCCAGACCGTTGGCGTGCAGGGTTCGGTCTCAACTTTCGACCTTACCCAGTTTCGGCCTTTACACCTCTCGTGGTCACCGTTGCACGAAAGTTCGTGCTCTCTGTAGCACGAGAGTGGTGCTCTTGGTTTCGGCCGAACCAAGTAACTATACCGAGTCAGAACTTTCGGGTTCCAGACCGTTGGCGTGCAGGGTTCGGTCTCAACTTTCGACCTTACCCAGTTTCGGCCTTTACACCTCTCGTGGTCACCGTTGCACGAAAGTTCGTGCTACAGAGTCTCAACTTTCGACCTTACCCAGTTTCGGCCTTTACACCTCTCGTGGTCACCGTTGCACGAAAGTTCGTGCTCTCTGTAGCACGAGGGTGGTGCTCTCGGTTTCGGCCGAACCAAGTAACTATACCGGTTGGAAAATGATACCGAAGTTTGGCATAACTAAGCTCGCAAGGCCTGCTAATTTCCGGACGACATTCGTGCCCGCAGGTGCTGGCGCACACGAGCTCGGGGTTTGAATCAAGCCTTTTTCAATCTCGTCTAGTTAGAATTTGATTTGCATCCCCCCCCCCCCCCCCCGCGCAAGAGAGCATCTATGCTATACAATTCTACAAGCTTCAAAAGAGCTCTTGTATATAAGGAGGGCAAATCCTCTTTCCAATCCAATGTGGGACAAAAACTCACTTTTTCCCTTCATTTTCCAACTCAAATGGGTATACTTTGAGAATCAATATCTCATTCACCCATCATCCGTTTTGAGTGTACAATATATCAATATCTTCGTCTCACTACGAAGAATCTGAATCCACTTTGACCTGACCCAAATCGGAAGTGGATCCCACTGATAATTGTACCACAAAATAGCCACTTAACATGTCATTTTAAGCTATTTTTCCAACAGTATGAACCCGTGATTTTTTTCAGAATTTTTGGGGGGTGGTGGGAGAGAATGTAACTGAGTTTGTCTTAGGATGCCTCAAATCGGGTCAATTTCCTTCAGAGCTAAACACTGCGAATATTGTTCTTATACCGAAAAAGAAAGTTCCCGAGCTGGTTTCTGATCTCAGAATCATTGCCTTGTGTAACGTGACTTACAAGGTGATAGTTAAGATGTTGGCTAACTGGATGAAGAATCTGCTCAAAGACATTGTCTCAGAATCCCAAAGTGCATTCTTACCGGGGAGGCTGATAACTGACAACATCTTAGTGGCGGCGGAGGTAGGCCACTATTTACACAGGAACACAGGAAAACGACGAGGGAGGTTGGTTGGGCGGCGTTGAAGTTAGATATGGCCAATGCATACGACAGAATGGAGTGGGAGTTCCTCAGACATATGTTACTGGGTTTGGGGTTTGGGGAGGGGTGGGTGCAACTCATCATGTTATGTGTGACTACGGTCAAATATAACATCACGGTTAATGGCAATGTGGTTGGGGAGGTGGTTCCTACGAGAGGGCTAAGGCAGGGTGATCCTCTATCACCTTATTTGTTCATCCTTTGTGCTGAGGGCTTATCCTTATTGTTACAGCGGGTCTAGGACAGAGGAGGGATACATGGGTGTAGGGTAGCGAGGGGGGCTCCGCCGATCTCTCATCTCTTTTTTGCTGACGACAGTTTATTGTTCTTTAAGGCGAACATGCAGGAGGCAAAGGTGGTTAGGAATTGTTTGTGGGAATATGAAGAGTTATCTGACCAATTGGTTAACTTTGATAAATCCAACATCAGCTTTAGTCAGAACACAAGGGTTGATACCAGGGCGCAGGTGGCGAATCTTTTGGGGGTCACTCAGGCGGATGATATTGGTCGGTAATTGGGTTTGCCTTCCGTGGTGGGTAGAAACCGGATGGTAGTTTTCGCTTACTTTGAGGAGAAGCTAGTCAACCGGATCGGCGCATGGGATAAGAAATTCTTGTCCCGGGCGGGAAAAGAGATCCTTCTAAAAACAGTGGCGCAGGCCATGCCTTTGTATGTCATGAGTGTGTTCTTAATCCCGAAAACTTTCTGTATGGGGTTGGAAAGGAGAATGAACAACTTCTGGTGGGAAAGTGGGCGAGTTCAAGGTATCCATTGGTTGGTATGGGACAGACTAAGCGTGCCGAAGAGGCTTGGGGGTCTCAGTTTTAGGCGTTTGCATGCCTTTAACCTGGCACTCCTGGCTAAGTAGGGGTGGCGTTTTCTTTCTAACCCGAACTCTCTTGTCGCCCGTATATTTCAGGCTCGTTATTTTCCTCGTAGCTCCTTTCTGGAGGCTTCGATTGGAAGTAATCCCAGCTACTGTTGGAGAAGCACTTTGGAGGCAAAGGATTTATTGTTGTCCGGAGCCAGACGGAGGGTGGGGAATGGCCAAAACACAAAGGTTTGGGAACATAGTTGGCTAGCAGGTCTAGTGAACCGCAAGATTGAATCACCACAGTCGCAGGAGGTACGTGATCTCATGGTATACAATCTATTCATACCTAACTCTAGTGAATGGAACATGCC